ACAAACCGTTATTGGTCATACACATAGAGAACCATTTCTTTGATTTTGACGAACGTGCGCAGGCTTTCAACTGACTGTGAGTTATGCGTCGCTCACTTTTCTAACAAACCATAGCTTTACGAACAAAATCTGCCATTCTTAACTGTCGAATTCCACAATTTCAGCGACGTCGTTATTTCATTATTTTTTTGAGATTGAATTATTTTATTAGAAATTAATCGCGTTATAAAAATATGGTTTATGGAAATTATAGTAGATTTAAGGATTATTATAAAGACATGAGTAACAAAGAGTACATAGTAAAAAGGAGTTTAATTATAATATGTCTACTATAATTATAATATGGTTGCTAACACTGGTCCGTAATCATGGACAAGGAGTCTTTACAGGAGGTTATCAGCTGGTCAGCTGAACTGTGGTTTGTTAGGGAGTGGTTACTCCCAGATCCTTCTTCCTTTCTCATCTCTTGTGTGATGAAGGCTCCAGGTTTGAGACTGGTGGAGCTAATTCAACATTGAACAAATCGTAAAGAATCACAGTGATAACCGAAGAAGAATATAATAGTAGTTAATTTTAGATATTGATTGATTGATATCCGGCCAAAATATTCAGATAACAATAGATAATATGAATACAACTATGAAAGTAACATTTTTTTTTGAACCTATTCTCTATCCTTCCATTGTTGGATATAGGTCTCCCCCAGTTCTCTCCATCTTTCCCTATCTTGAGCTGGTCTCTGCTATGTGAGACCTCCTTGTTTTCTGATGTCATCTTTCCACCTCATCTGTGGTCTGCCTCTTGATCTCTTTGCATTGTATGGACGCCACTTTCCGATGGCATTGTTCCATCGTCCGTCTTGGAGACGTTCATTGTGTCCAGCCCATTTCCATTTCAGTTTTGCTGCTTGTTCTATCGCGTCTACTGTCTTTGTTCTGGTTCTGATCCACTGGTTACGTTTTCTATCTCTAAGTGATACACCCAACATTTGTCTCTCCATCGCTCTTTGTGCCTTCCTTATCCTATCCAAATTGGCCTGTGTAAATGTCCATGTCTGTGCTCCGTAGGTGAGCACCGGTATGATACAGGAGTTATATACCTTGCTTCGTAAGTATAGAGGGATTGTTTGATTTTTTTAGAACGTAAGAAAGTTTGCCGAACGCTGCCCATCCCATTCTTACTCGTCTCGATATTTCGGCTGTTTGATTTTCTCTATTAGCTCTGATTGCTTGTCCTAGATAGATATACTCATTTACCTGTTCTATTTTTTCTGTTTTTATTTTTATTGCCTCTTGGTCTTCCGTGTTTGTCATTACTTTTGTTTTGTTGAAGTTAATTTTTAGGCCTTTTTGCAGCGATTTTTCATGAAGTTCATTCAGCATTAATTCCAGTTCTTGTCGTTCCGAGGAGATCAGGAGTATATCATCCGCATATCTAAGGTGATTTAGGTATTTTCCGTTAATACATATTCCTCTGTTTTCCCAATCTGTTGATTTTATTATGTCTTCGAGGGTCAAGGTAAACAGTTTAGGTGAAATTATATCGCCGTGTCGGACTCCTCGTTTAACTTTTATATTATCTGTTATTAATTTGTCGTCCAGAATTACGGTCATGGTTGCGTTTTGGTAAATATCATGTATCAATTGTTGGTATCTTGAATCTATTCTACTATTGACCAGAGCTTCTTCAACCGCCCAGTGTTCAATGCTGTCGAAAGCCTTTTCATAATCTACGAATGCTAAGTACAGCGGAAGGTTGTATTCATTGGTTTTCTCAATTAAGATTTTAAGCGTATGTAGATGGTCGATTGTGCTGTATCCTTTTCTGAATCCGGCCTGTTCCACTGGTTGGTAGTTATCAAGTTTATAGGTTAGTCGGTTGTTTATTATTCTTGTGAAGGTTTTATATAGTTGTGACAAAAGGGAAATAGGACGGTAGTTGTTTAGGTCTGTTCGGTCTCCTTTCTTATGTATTAAGATTGTGTTGGCATTTCTCCATTGTTTGGGTATTTTACCTTCAAACAGACATTTGTTGAACAGTATTTTTAGCATTTTTTTTATCGTGTCTCCTCCTTCTTTTAGCAGTTCCGCCAGTATTTTGTCCTCACCGGCCGCTTTATTTCTTTTCATGTCGTTTATGGATTTTTCGATTTCATCTTCAGTTATTTCTGGTAATACCTCTGAGCCAACATTTTGTATTTTCCTCGTGAGATTCTGTTTAGATGATAGTGGTGGGTCATTTTTAGAACTGTATAGGTCTGTGTAATATCTTTCTGTGATTTTTACTATTTCTCCTAGATCTCTTTCTTCATTGTTCTCAGCTTTAAGCATGATTAGTTTTCTTTTTCCTATATTTGTCTTCATTGTTTTTAAACTTTTGTTCTTCTCTATGATTTTCTTAATGCGGTCTTCTTGGTATTTCTTTAAATCTTCCTTTATCTGTTTTCTTATGGTTTTATTCAGTTCGGTATACTCCACTGTATTTCTTTTGTTATCGTTCAGTAGTTGTCGTCGTTTTTTTAGCATATCTTGTGATTTAGCGCTAATTTTTTGTTGTTTTCGCTTTTGTTTATTAGCAATCTTCAGGCATGCTTCTAGTAGTTCTGTTGTTATTTTATCGTTTAATTCGTCTAGTTGCAGATGCAGACCCTTTAGCTGTGATATGTCACTTCTTTTTAGCTGGTTTATGTATTGTTCTTTGCGTTCTTTAAGAAGTTCTGTATCTATCTCTTTTTTAGATGGTTTAAATTTTTGTCTGTCTGTTGTGGAGTTAATTTTGATTTTGGCTCTAACAATTCTGTGATCACTTCCTACGGAAATCATGTTTATGACCGTAACGTCTTGTACTATGCTCTTTTCTTTGGATAGGATGTAATCAATCTCATTTTTTGTTAAACCATTGGGCGCGACCCACGTCCATTTTCGCTGTGGTTTTTTATTGAAAAAGGTATTCATCGCATATAGACCGTTCGTTTCCATATAACTCATTTATGTAACATATCATTCATATCATGAAAGTAACATATCATTCCAAAAAACACAGCACAACCGGATGATGTAAAGGTTATTTAAAGATTATTCAGATTATTTCCCAGATTTCTCCCTATACAAAATTAATTTTCACTACCCACATTTCTCATGACTAGAAGTTAATGTATTAGTTTTGATTTGAATTCCATTTTAACCACTTAAATTACAAAACTTCTCTTACATACTACACACAATGTTTGCTCCGCGATGATTTCAAAAGGAACTACAATTTAACTATGTAATTATTTGTGCGGTGTGAGGGCGGCTTCCTGGCTTTCATTTGTATTTGACGAACTGTATTACAAGGAACTCCATTTTCAATTTGATAGGAAAGCTTGGTCTAATTTGTGTAATAAGCTATTAAGCTTTACCTTTTCGGCATCATAGGGGACGCATTTTTAATGTGTGATTTTGAATGAACTATCTGTATATACACTGATGAGTATCTTAAGAATCGGCAAAATAATGCAAAAATAGAAAACATAATACGTTGTGAAATAAAAAGGGATGAAACTAGTAGAGGTGGGAAATTATCGATAGCAACCTATAATTTACATTACACTACATTAGGACTGTCGATAGTTTTCCATCTTTAGACGTTAGCTTATGAACTAGTTGACTTCAGTCGTAATTATAGGGATGACATTAAACATTTTTTTCTTCTTAGAGTGCCATATCCCTACGGAACGTCGGCGACTACCATGCTTATAATATTGTTATACTGATCTCGGTCTTGTGCTACGTGTAGCAATTGGACCGCTGTCAAACCTGTCCACTGCCGCAAATTCCTCAATCAAGAGAGTTTCTTCCGTCCTATCCATTTCTTTCCTTGGATTTTACCGTTGAGAATTAGCCGAAGGAACTCATATCTTGGTCCTCTGATTATATATCCAAGATATTCTAGTTTACGCCTCTTAATAATATTTAATAGAGTTTGTTGATGTCCCATTCTTCAAAGAATTTCTTCGTTTCTGGTTCTGCTAGTCCATGGAATTTTTAGTATCATTCGATACAACCACATCTCAAACGCCTCGATTTTATTCATGATATCTGCGTTTAAAGTCAAAGTATCACATCCATACAAAAGTACAGACCACACGTAACATCTTGTAAACTTTTCACGGATTTCCAAATTTAATGAGTTATTGGATAATAGAGGCTTGAATATTTGAAATGAGTTTCTTGCCTGTTCAATTCTACATCGAATTTCGAAGGATGGATCTAGATTTTGGGTAATCCAACATCCAAGGTATTTGAATCTCTGAACTCTCTGCAGCGGTTGTTGGTTTAATATCAGTTGGGTTGCGCCGATATCCACTTTACTGGTCACCATGTATTTAGTTTTATCGATATTTATCGACAGTCCCCAATTTGTGCATTCCATGTCAACTCTATTGATTAGCTGCTGCAGATCGTCGATGTTTTCAGCTAGAATCACAGTATCGTCGGCGTACCGTATATTGTTAATGATTTCTCCTCCTATGATAATTCCTTTTTGATCTTTTAAAGATTCCCTAAATAGATTCTCAGAATATAAGTTAAAGATGGTGGGAGATAGTATACAGCCTTGTCTTAAGCCTCGTTCAATACTTATTGGCTTTGATTCTCTGTTGTTGCTATTAATAATGGCTGTTTGGTTCCAGTAAAGTTTGGCAATAAGTTTAATGTCTTTCTCATCTAGTTGGATGCTCTGCAAGGCGATAATTAGTCTGGTATGCTGAACGCGATCACATTTTTTTAATTTCGCCTAAAGTAAAAACTAATTGAAGGCAATAAGGAAATTTAAGTAAAACATTTTAATTAGTAGTAATTTTTTAATCCAAAATTAAATTATTGATCAAGGTGGTTTAGTGATGAGGATAGGATGATTTCCTACTGCGGCTATTAACAAAGAGACAATATTTCCAAACGTTTATTTTTATTAATTGTAAGTAAAATAAACAATTACAATACGTTTTTATTTTGTTTTAGTTAAGTAAAAAATGGCGGCAAACAGAACTGGACCTGCTCAGAGACCAAATGGCGCTACCCAAGGAAAGATATGCCAGTTCAAACTTGTCCTACTAGGCGAAAGTGCCGTCGGTAAGTCGAGTTTGGTACTGAGGTTTGTCAAAGGACAGTTCCATGAATACCAGGAGAGTACCATAGGAGCAGCTTTCCTTACACAAACCATATGCCTCGACGATACAACCGTTAAATTTGAAATTTGGGACACAGCGGGTCAAGAAAGGTAAGTAGTACCAAAAGATAATTGTTTTTATTTAAAATAATATTGACATTCAAAAATTTACCCTTTATTCCACGAAAGGAATGATTGAAGGCGTTTTGTAAATAGTGCTATCATAGGGCCCATATTTTTGTTTTAATATAATATCTTTTTGTTAAATTTTTGTTATAAATAAAATACAACATGCTTTATTAGTGGCAAATTATCAACAACTATCTGTGTTAAATTAAAATTATACCGAATATCAAGTATACCCACTATTCAATTACAAATTAATCTCTTCTGTATCTGTATCTGTAGAGTAGGGAGGGCGAGTTAAGTTTCACAGCACTTAGGCCACAATTGACCCATTGTGCATCCTCCCAGGGAGCTGTTACCCTTAGCTCATTGTCCATCCTGCCATTTCTAGGAAGGTGGACAAGTCACCAGGAGACATCTCACTTATGTGGGCAGGTGTAGGCCAGGACTCGCCGAACGATAACTCTGGGCATTCACATAGGACATGCTCAACAGTTTCATCTTCTCGTTCACACTTCCTACATAGAGGTGTGTCTACTAGCCCCAGTGTGTGGAGGTGTTTGCTTAGTTGACAATGACCAGTTAAAAAACCAACTGCCAAACGTAGATTTTTCCTGGTCATTCCCAAGTACTTCTTTGATGTTGACTCTTCAAGGTTACTTAGTGTTACCCTGGCAAGTTTACATCCTTTCCCTTCTTCCCATTTTTTACGGTTTGCGTATGGGAGTGACATTTGACAATTTCCGCTATTGTTGTAGTTGACCTACCAAAAAGATCCCCAGGTCCTAAGAGTCTTAGGCCTGCCGCCTTCCTAGATAATTGGTCAGCAATGCGGTTGCCTTTATTCCTATTGTGTCCTTTAACCCACTTCAGGATGATGGTATTACCATTCGAAGCTTGAGTTAGTGACTCGTGACACTCCATTACTAAACCTGATGTGACACGTGGTCTATTCAAGGTTAGTAGCGCTTGTCTGCTATCTGTGCAGATCATTATAGTTTTCCCTGCTATACCTTTTTGGGTTATCTCTTTTGCGGCTATGGAAATACCAGTTAGTTCTGTCTGAACTACACTGGCATTTTTGCCCATACCCCACTTTATTCTTAGGTTCAGTGATCTGGAGTATATCCCGCATCCTGAGCCTTCTTTCATTTTGGAGCCATCGGTGTATATGCAGTAGGCATTTGCCACGTTTGTCTCCATATACTGTCTTGTTTCAATTTTGTAGGGTTTGTTAAAGACGAACTTTGGTTCAATTGAGTCGCAGCCTGCCTGTAGTACTGTTAACGCATCCAGCTCTCCCAGCCAGAAACGAGTTCTCAATTGTCCCATTCCTACATCAAGGTTTGCACCAGCTGAGCGCAGTCGCATCATTGTCACTAGAGCCACCTCTTTGACATATATATCTAGAGGCGTGATGCCAATGATCAACTCCATTGCAGCAGTTGGTGTTGTTTTCATGGCACCTGTTATATTTATGCAAGCCATCCGCTGAATATGGTTTAGTTTGTTAATCGCTGTTGCCTGTAGCACTTTTGGTACCCAAGCAATAGCTCCGTAAGTTAGCATTGGCCTAATGACAGCGGTGTAGACCCAGGCGATCACCCTGGGCGTGAGGCCCCAGGTGCGTCCAACCGTTCGTCGACACTGTTCATAGGCAATATATGCTCTTTTAGCTCTACCATCTAGGTGTGAGTTCCATGTTAACATCCTGTCAAGGGTAATACCAAGGTACTTCACCTCGTCAGAAAAAATCAATTTAAAATTAATCCCTTAATTTGGAAATCACAAATTAATCCACCAATGGAAATCATTAATACGGATACCCAGCCAAACTGTATCTTAACTGAATTATATGATAGAACTACCAACACCACCTGCAATATAATAGAGTACACGATAAAGGAAGCTAGTTGGTTGAAAATGAGCACACCGAACCTCTGGCTAGTCATTCCACCATACGCTATAAATTTAGCTATAATGTGCGATGGTTCTCGATCTAAACATCAAACGAGTTTTATAAAACTGTCATTGGAAACAGCAATTGGAAGTTATTTAAAGACTCCCGTCAGTCCCATTGAAGAGCTTATTAGGCCAATCATAAAGCAGAACGACATTCCCAGACATAATATAGATATTCGGGAAGATGCGTTGCCAAATATTGTACTTTAGGCAGGGCAGTTTGACGAAGATATATCCGAACACACGTGGAAAACCATTGCTAACCTTCAGTTTATTCCTCATTTAACCACCGGACTAGTCACTATATTCATTGTTATGTTGATTGTCATTATGTGAAGGTAGTCAGATATATTCGAAACTCCAAGAGAGCCAGAAAATAAAGACATCCAGGTTTTTGCATTTAACCTCATTCAGCGCCTCGAAGACATAAAGTATCACAACCAAATGTAAGTAAAATTTTAAAGAAAGCCCTCCAAGATCAGTTTCACTTAATAAGCTTAGATTTTAATTAGATTAGATTAAATTCTAAATATTCAAGTTATAGGTAGCACTGCTCGGGTGAGATAATAATTAAAAAACCGAGTGAATTAGTGTGTAGTATAATCTCACATTATTCTTAACTTCTTAACCTTTTATAGTTTCACCGTGTATAATTGAAACATTGTGAAACATATCGAATAATATTTTAATAATTAGAGTTCATTCAACCTGCACATCTGCACTTAATAAATTGCCAAATAATATATTTTCTAATTGAACTTTCTATGCGTTGCAATAACGGCCTAGATTGAATTGCATTGTAATCTCATAGTTCAAAGTTTGTTAGTATGATAGAAGCATTAACCTCTGTGCTGAAATATACATTATTTGTGAAATTATAAATTGGGGATTTGAGCTCATTTGAGCGCATCCTATTATATAAAGTTACCTAACCAACAATTAGAGTGTAATTATTAGTAGCTGCCAATAAAACTTAAATTTTTACTCCACACTTCAACTATTTATTTACCATCGTCGATCGAGAAGAATCGGATAAAGGGGCATTAGAAAACAATTCGATCATTATAACTACATTAGAATTTGTCCAGCAGTCGTACATTAACTACGTGCGCTACGGACTCTCTCGCAGCTACCCATGCAATGTACACTACATCTATTAATATCAGATTTAATCCATAGTAATTATTTATATTATTGTATAGAGATAAAATACATGATGCTTTGATTTTTTATGCATTTTTAATGATATATAAATTAAAAAATAAAATTTTTGAAAAAAGACAAAACCTTAATAAAGGAATAACTCAAGAAAAAAAGTAAAAAAAAATCTTGAAATAAAAACTTCACATGTGTCACTGTTAGTTTATATTATTCACTTTTTGCTTCTTCATGTTTGCAAAAATCTTATAACTTTTGTCATATTATGTTGTTTGCAAACTGACCTATTGCAACTTCCGCAGATAATTGTTGTGACCTGATTCTTTTTCCTGCCGCAAATAAAACACTTCGCTCTGATCTTTGCAGGCAGCCCCTCATTGTCTTCTGTTGGATTTTTATATTTCGTCACAGTGATTGAATGTTGGCGCGTTCAGAGAGGTATGGCTTCATCAAACCTAAGGAGAGCAGTTTCAAAATTTCTCGTCTATGCTTATAAGCTGCATTATAGAGAAATTGTCCATTGGTTTCTGCGATGTTCATGAGTTGGAAAAATATAACCAAAGGCCATTGTCTTGTTCTTCTTATACTGAGTATGAGCCACACATTTTATCAACTCCACTTTTGGTGGCGTTATATTGTAAGATGATATCAGGTTTACTCGACACTTGATCTATATCTACATCCTCGTGCATCATTGAGATCAATATAACCGCTTTATTCGTTTTCGGTGTATAGGGAAGCAATGTCTCATTTTTTTTTAAATCCCACAACAAAAATTTAATAGGTCTATTTTTTCTACCATTTTAGAGTTTTTCTTCCGGAGTCAACGATGCTCAAAAACATATCTGTTCTGTCAATGCTACCCATGTCATTATTATGCATACCTCTGTGACCGGTTTTTCTACATGTATTTTTGCCGTAGCTTTTTTCTGTTACTTCCATTGCTTTATTATGAATTGATGTTAACATGTCAAATACGTGGAACAAAAAATCCTTGTTCTGGAAATGGATTTTTGACGCAGATAAGCAGGTATATTCAGAATGATGCAATAACAAATGAAAGAATAAGACAAATCATGGACAGAACAACGACTATCATAGAAGAAATATAGCAATAATAGGGTACTTGGTACGGACATATAAAGAGAATGATAGACAATCGCCTACTCAATTGGTACCCAATCCAATATAATATTGGATTAGCAGCCACCTGAGCGGAAAAAACGAGTTAGATCGAAAACAACATTGCTTGATGGAGTTCAAAAGGCAATGTCAGAGAGATATATTTACGACCGGGAGACTGGGTCTAGTGGCGTGAATGGAGACTAGGAACCAGAAGGCCCAGGACGCTATAAACCGGACATAATATATATCTTAACATGTGAACGTCTCGTATTCATGTATATTATCTTTCACAATCCACTAAAACGAAAAACTATACAAAATCGGTGTCTTTTGTTGGAATATATTGTCTAAATCAGGGGTGCTCAAACGGTCGATCGCGAGTGCTTTTTGGGTAGATCTCGAGAAGAAAAAAAATTTTAATAAGTAGGTAGGTAACTAAACTACTGTCAGCAGAGTTAAACGTTTTTATTAATACTGAACTATACAAATACATAGAATGCTTGACTAAGCATCATTGCAATTCAAAGAAGTGGGGACAACAAAATACTGTCCACACAGCATATTTTATATTTACATATATTAACTAATTATTTTATTAATTCAATATTGTATTATAATTATTAATCAAATTTGGGATGATATTCTATCAACTACAAAAATGTATTACGTAATAAAATAACACTGCTTGCGGCAAAAGGTGGCTTTATCAAAGGAACGCGCGGCACTTGTCAAAGAAAAGC